ATTATTTTGGGTGGGGGTGGGGGGTGGGGGGGTGGGGCTTGGTATAACGTGATTAGAGCTTTTACCCGCTTCTTTGATACTTCGGGAGCTACGATGTACCCATAACTCATCATCTCAGACAGATAAATCGATAACCACTGACTAGCTAACTAAAGGACTTAAAGTTAACTTGGTACTGGTAATAAGTTAAGATAAAAATTGAAGTAGTGGGAGACCTGCTCCACAGAGTTTGACAGGTAAATGAAAAAAGCGGAAAAGATTGGAGGGGGGGGGGGTTCAAGACCGTACTCGGCGCGTAAATGTATTGAGTTGCTGTGTCCATGCTTGACAGTTGTTAGTCCCCTAACTCGATAAACTGCTCAACATTAGTCGAAATATCCGACGTGCGGTAAAAGGATTGGAAAAAAGAGATACAGATCCAGTATTATTCCTAAATCAGCTAATCAACGCGCAGTCTTCTGTCCCAAATTTCCAACCAAGGGGTAATCACTGATGATGGATCTTACTTCTTCTGGTTTAAAATTTTCACATTTATTTCTCTTCAATACCGACATATGACACTGGTAGTTACGCACATTCTTGGCTGATGCTTCTCATTCCATGAAAGTAACGAAAGCCATTTCCAAATCAAATCCCTACTACAAATTGCAATTTAGTGGGGTTAAAAGTAGTATTATTGTTTGTGTTTGCATTAGCAAAGATATTTTACCTTGAGGGCCGACTGTCCGGACATCCCTTCAGGGAATTCGCTTCATCAAGTAGGAATCGAAGACGTCGGGAGAGTTTGGCGATTTCTTGTTGATTTCGGAATTTTTCATTTTGACAGGCTGTATTCTTGCACTCCTCTCGGCATTTTCTCAACTCAAACCTAGAGCTTTCATTCGTTTCCCCATTGTCATCCAAGTTATTTTCAGTCGGTTTCTGAGGAGAGGAATAAAATTCTATCAGCTCTTTCACCACAGCATATTCTTTATGGTTGACCAACATGAATGCTAACAATTACATCGTTACCAGTGATATCTGCGCATAAAAATATAAGCTAATTATAAAAATTACTTTAATATTCCCGACCCCCTCCCACCCGCCTGATGTATAGTTATGCGTATATTTACTCCTACAAATCTTATATGCAGACAAAAGCAGCTATTAAGATATTTTCAGATAACCAAAACCGACAAAGTGGGTTGATAAAACGTTCTTTACCCCCCCCCCCCCCCCCCCCCACTTCTGAACGATATCCTCCAGCTTATCGGAAGTCAAAAAAGAATTTGGGGAGAAGTACTGATATGAATAGAAATTAACAGGGATAAAGGTTATTGGAAAGTATTCTCTTAACAGCCACTCAGACACATATTACTACCAACTTGCATTAAGTGTTTGGATGGTGAATTATTAATATCCTAAATCTACTTAATTAGAATCTAATATTAGATTAATATTTTGACAAGTATTCGTTTGCAAAATTCATTAAATCATTTCGAAGAGTAGGTCATATACGTATACTATCGTATTAATTTACTTATTAAAGTTAATTAAGTCTTAAATTTTAAAGAAATTGAGAACTGCGTTTTTATTTGGAATTCATCGTTTTTGAATTTGGCGTTACTCATTCTACATCGAAATCTTTCGCATTCATTTTACAGACCTAGTTAGCTCATTAATGTCCATATAAATTTCACCAATTCTATTCACAACACGCATAAAGCACCTTGAATTATACCAATCTGTTGACTTTGTCTGCTCTACATTTTCAAATTTTTATAGGTGTCTGCATTATCTTCCACACCAGGTGTTAGATAGTTCATTTTAAATTTCATAATAATCCTACCAAAAGCCTCTAATTCACTATCTCACAGAATGAAACAGCTAGTGGTTTATTTAAGTCAATCGTAAAAAAATTGGCAAAAAATCGATTATCGAATTTTGAGGACTGCGTTAGAATCGTTGATAATGAACACGATGAACTGTGGGACACGTTATCGCTCTGTGCGTCATCGTATGCCTGCATATCTGCTCTCCAGGATTGGAAGGT